CAGCCAAAACAGACTTTAAACCAACAAATATCAAAAAGAAAAAAAGAAGGACAATACATAATGGTAAAGGGTTCAATACAACAATAAGATCTAACTATCGTGAATATACATGCACCCAACATTGGAGTACCCAGATTCAAAAATCAAGTTCTTGGAGACCTTCAAAGAGACTTAGATACCCAAACAATAATTGTGGGAGACTTTAATATCCCACTGACAATAAAGACAGAAAATAAGCAAAGATCTTCAGGACATGAACTCAGCACTGGATCAAATGGATCTAATAGACATCTACAGAACTTTCCACCCCAAAAGAGCAGAATATACATGATTTTCATTGGCACATGGCACATACTCTAAAATTGGTAACAAAATCAGTAGTAAAACACGCCTTAGCAAATGCAAAAGAATAGAAATCCTAAAAAACAATCTCTTGAACCACAGTACAATCAAATCGAAAGTCAAAACTAAGAAATTCACTCAAAACCATATAATTACATTAAAATTGAAAACTTGCTCCTGAATGACTTTTTGGTAAATAATAAAATTCAGGAAGAAATCATAAAGTTCTTTGAAATAAATGAGAAAAAAGATACAATGTACCAGAGTCCCTGGAACATAGCTAAGGCAGTGTTAAGAGGGAACATTACAGCACTAACTGCCCACATCAAAAAGTTAGAAAGATCTAAAGTTAACAACCTAACATCACAACTAAAAGAACTAGAAAATCAAGAGGAAATAAATCACAAAGCTAGCAGAAGACAAGAAATAACCAAAATCAAAGCTGAAGGAGATGGGGACAAGAAAAACCCTTCAAAAGATCCACAAATCCAGGAGCTGGGTTTTTTTGTTTGTTTGTTTGTTTTTTTGTTTGTTTGTTTGTTTTGAAAAATTTAGTACAATATATATACCACTAGCTAGACTAATGAAGAAAACAGATAATATTCAAATAAACAGAAACAACAAGGAAGATACTACCACTGACCCCACAGAAATAAAAAAAAAAAGAAAATATTATTAATATCTCTATGCACAAAAACTAGAAAATTTAGAAGAAATGAATAAATTCCTGGAGACACACACTCTCCCAATACTGAATATGGAAGAAATGGTATCCCTGAACAGACCAGTAGTAAACTCTGAAATTGAATCAATAACAAATAGCCTTCAAAACAATAAAAGCCCAGGAGCAGAAGGATTCACAGCTGAATTCCACTAGATGTACTGGAAAAGCCAGTATCTTTCTTCCTGAAACTATCCCAAATAACTGAGAAGGACAGACTTCTCCCTAACTCATTCTATTTAGCCAGCATGATCCTGACACCAAAACCTGGCAGAGACACAACAACAAAAAACTTCAGGCCAATGTTTATTTATGAACATCAATGGACAAATTCTCCACAAAATACTGGCAAACCAAATCCAACAGCATATCAAAATGTTTATTCACCATAATCAAGTAGGCCTCATTCCTGAGATGTAAGGTTGATTCAACATATACAAATAAATAAATGTGATTCATCACATAAACAGAACCAAAGACAAAACCCACATAATTATTTCAATAGATGCAGAAAAGGCATTCAATAAAACTCAACACTTTTTCATGTTAAAAACTCTCGATAAACTAGGCATTGAAGGAACATTCCTAAAAATAATAGGAGCCATCTATGACAAACCCACAGCCAACATCATACTGAATGGGCAAAAGCTGGAAACATTCTTTTGAAAACCAGCATAAGACAAGGATGCCTTCTCTCACCACTTCTTTTCAACATAGTATTGAAAGTTCTGGCCAGGATCATCAGGCAAGAGAAAGAAATAAAGGACATACAAATAGGAAGATAGGATGTCAAACTATCTCTGTTTGCAGAAAACATGATCCTATATCTAGAAAACCCACAGTCTCAGCACAAAAGCTCCTTAAGCTGATAAACAACTTCAGCAAAGTCTCAGGATGCAAAATCAATGTGCAGAAATCACTAACATTTCTTCCTTTTTTTTTTTTTTCCTTTTGAGACAGAGTTTTGCCCTTGTTGCCCATGCTGGAGTGCAATGGTGTGATCTCAGCTCACTGCAACCTCTGCCTTCTGGTTTCAAGCGATTCTCCCGCCTCAGCCTCCCAAGTAGCTGGGATTACAGGCGCCTGCCACCAAGCCCAGCTAATTGTTTGTATTTTTAGCAGAGATGGGGGTTTCACCATGTTGTCCAGGCTGGTCTCAAACTCCTGACCTTGTGATCAGCCCACCTCAGCCTCTCAAAGTGCTGGGATTACAGGTATGAGCCACTGCACCTGGCCAGAAATCAGTAACATTTCTATACACCAACGAAAGTCAAACTGGGAGCCAAATTAGGGATGCAATCCAATTTACAGTTGCCGCACACACAAAAAAATATACTTAGAAATACAGCTAACAAGGGAAGTGAAAGACCTCTACAAAGAGAACTACAAAATGCTTCTCAAAGAAATCACAGATGACACAAAAAAATGGGAAAACATTCCAAGCTCATGGATAGGAATAATTAATATTATTAAAATAGCCATAGTGCACAAAGCAATTTACTGATTCAATGCTATTCCTATTAATCTACTATTGACATTCTTCACAGAACCAGAAAATGCTATTTTAAAATTCAAAGGGAACAACAACAAAAAAAGAAAGCCTGAATATCAAAGGCAATTGTAAGCAAAAAGAACAAAGCTGGAGGCATCAAACTACCCAACTTCAAACTATGATACAGGTTACAGTAACCAAAACAGCATGGTACTGGTACAAAGCAGACACTTAGACCAATGGAACAAAACAGAGGACCCAGTAACAAGGCCACACAGCTACAGCTATCTGATCTTCAATAACCTTGACAAAAACAAGCAATGGTGAAAGGATTCCTTATTCAATAAATGGTGCTGAGATAATTGGCTAGCCATATGCAGAAGATTGAAGCTGGACCTCTTCCTCACATCATATACAAAAATCAACTCAAGATGGAATAAAGACTTAAATGTAAAACTCAAAACTATAAAAGCTATGGAAGACAACTTAGCCAATACCATTCAGGACATAGGCACGGGCAAAGATTTCATTATGAAAACACCAAAAGCAATTACAACAAAAGCAAAAATGGACAAATGGCATGTAATTAAATAAAAGAGCTTCTGCATAGTAAAAGAAAGTATCAACAGAGTAAACAGACAACCAACAGAATGAGAGAATATTTTTGGAAACTATGCATCTGATAAAGGTCTAATACCCAGCATTTGTAAGGAAGTAAAACAAATCTACAAGACAAAAACAACCCCATGAAAAAGTGTACAAAGGACATGAGCAGACACTTCTCAAAAAGAAGACATACATGCAGCCAACAATCATATCAAAAAAAGCTCAACATCACTGATCATTAGAGAAATGCAAATCAAAACTACAATGAGATACCATCTCACAGAATGGTATGTGCTATTAAGAAGTCAAAAATAACAGATTCTGGCAAAGTTGCTGAAGAAACAAAATGCGTATACACTGCTGGTGGGAGTGTAAATTAGTTCAACCATTGTGGAAGACAGTGTGGTGATTTCTCAAAGACCTAAAAACAGAAATACCATTTGTACAAGCAAATCCATTCCTGGGTATACATTCCAATGAATATAAATCTATTATAAAGATACATGCACACATATGTTCATTGCAGCACTATTCACAATGGCAAAGATACGGAATCAACCTAAATGCCCATCAATGGTAGATTGGATAGAAAAAATGCGGTATATAAACATCATGAAATACCATGCAACAATAGAAAAGAATAAGATTATGTCCTTTGCAGTAACATGGATGGAGGTCATTATCCTCAGCAAACTACTGCAGGAAAAGGAAACCAAATACTGCATGTTCTCACTTATAAGTGGGGGCTAAATGATAAGAACCCATGGACACATAATGGGGAACAACACACACTGGGGCCTATTGGAGGTTGAAGAATGGGAGGAGGGAAAGGATCAGGAAAAATAACTATTGAATACTGGGCTTAATAGCTGGGTGACAAAATAATCTGTACCACAAATGCCCATGACACAAGTTTACCTACATAACAAACCTGCACATGTATCCTTGAACTTAAATAAAAAAATTTAAAAAAGAGATTCTTTTAATTCGTTCACTTCCTTCAATGCCCATTGTCTCTGCCTTTTTATCTGGTTAGAAACACTCATAACTGCTTTCCCTGCCATTGTTTCGACACTCACTAAAAGAGCCTTAGTAGAGTTATTTTTATATATTTCTTAACTTCCCTATTAAGGATAAGCTCTTTGAGGATAGAAATCATATTTTGTCATTGTACATCTCAAATCATCTAGTCCAATAACATTCACAGAGAAGGAGTTCAATAAATATCAACTGAATGAATGAATGTGTGAGTGATCTTCTAATTAGGCTGAAATTTGAAGTTAAAATTGATTTTTATTTCCTTAGATTAGTCTACAAATTCTTTAAGGAAAAATATTTTTTGCCCACAAATACATTCCATCTATGACCCAAGAAGACGCCTCCTGGTGGTATTCTAATTAACTATTCAGTGAAGGCAGACCAGGAAATATGCAATATAATCAAAATTCTGGATTTTTTCTTATCTTGGACAATTAATCCTTGAATACTCAAGAAAGTGTTTATCTGGAAATAATTTTACTGCCTTTCACAGTACTAAATCTATTTAGGAAAATATAATAGAAATGTTCTTCATATTTGTTCCTATATCTGGCATTTAACACACTGCTTTCATATTCAACAGTCTTTTCAATACGATTTTATCTTTTTTTGTAAGGTACATCACAACCATTACTGTCTTTCATAAATAAACTGAAATAGAAAATAGAAATAGAAAAGATAAGTGACTTGCTCAAGGCAAACGTAAAAGTTATCAAAAAATCTAAAATAAAAGGTAATATTTCAGTAACAAAAGACAGGATTTCATACTTACAAATAACAGCTATAGAAAACTGGGAAAATTGCATAAATTTTTATTGTCCCTAATATATAAAGCCAAGATTGCTTAATACACATAAAGCTATTTTCAAGAGAACACAGAAAAGAAAGTAAAAACACCTTATTGTTTTTAATCTTACAAGGAAATTCACAACAATTTAACTCATTTATATATTTCGTATTTTATTAAAAAAAAGTTTTCCAAGTTTAACATCTAATCAAATAAGAGAAGATATCTTACACATTAAGTTCCATGGGCTTTATGACCATCATTTCATTAAATTAGATTTTAAAGACTCGCCATCAGTTAGGTAGTATTAGGAGATTTTATGGGACAGTGGCTCAAAGCCCCAGTAACCAGGATTCCATAGATACAGTACAAAAGAGGTTTGCACATTCATACTTGATAAATCACTATTCTTTGAGCTCAGCACAGTGTCTGTTTCTGTAGAGAATAAAAGTGCTATGGGGTATACTCTTTCTATTCTAGATTCTGAGTGATATAGTTTGGATATTTGTCTCTGGTCAAATCTCATGTCGAATTGTGATCCCCAGTGCTGGAGGTGGAGCCTAGAGGGAGGTGTTTGGATCATGAGGGTGGATTCCACATGGCTTGGCGCTGTCTTCCTGATATTGAGTTCTTGTGAGATCTGGTCATTTAAAACTGTGGCACCTCGCAGCCACTCTCCCTTGTTCTTGTTCCTGTTCTCACCATACAATGTGCCTGCTTTCCCTTTGCCTTCCGCCATGATTGGAAGCCTCCTGAGGCCTCCCCAGAAGCACACACTACTATGTTTCCTGTACAGTCTGCAGAACTGTGAGCCAATTATATCTCTTTTCTTATAAATCACATAGTCTCAGGTATTTCTTTATAGCAGTGCAAGAACAGCCTAATACACTGAGAGTTTCTGGTCTCCTAAAGATCACACATATATAGACATATTGATACTTCAGTCAATTTAGTTTACCCTTATAAACTATTTTAATAAAGTAACAAAGGAGTATTCTTGGAGCAAGGAGGTTTCCTGACCATTTGTCTTGCCTACAGAGTCTCCCTAGTTCATTATTATTTTAAGAGAATCATTTGAATGAATATAATGACGTAGAAGAGCCTGCCCTTTGCCTACTTCTTTTCCTTTCAGACTAGAGAACTGGATGGAAAAAGTCTTTACTCTTTCCTTTCATCTTCAACTTTTGAATAATTCATGGTGGATAATCTAGGCCTCCTGAACCCCAATCTTCAATTGATGTTAGTCAGGTTTTCAGAATTCCCTACAGTATGTGGTCTGTAAAAACAATAAAAATAAATAACAATCCTTATACTTCTACCAACTCAGCATTTTGCTTGAATTATTTTGCAGATAGATCTTCAATGAACCTTAAATGTTCTTAGAGATAATTTAGATGGGAAACACAAAAGGACACTGATATTTAGACTTACTTTTTTAGGATTCCGGTCTATCTCCTTTTTGGAAAATGAGAGCACACAAGTTAAAGATCAAACTTGTCCCCGCTGAGAAGGAAATAAGTTAGGCAGGCTTCCCTACTCCAACAGATGATTACCCTAACTGCATAAGAGGAACTCAGGGAGGGTCAAGTCCTGAGGGCATCTATATCAGTGAGGGTTCTTTTGACAGTAAATAAAAAGATACCTACTTATAAGTGGCTGAAAAAAGAAACTATATGTATTATCTTATATAACGAGATGAATAGAGGTAGGTAGTTCCAGACTCGGTTAATTCAGCAGCACAAGAATATCATCAAAGGCCCACATATCATATATCTTATTTTCACCCATCTGCAAAGGATTGGCATTGGTTTTCAGATTTGATTCTTCAGAGTTGTTGGAAGGCAAATACAGATCCAAAAAGCATGTTCTCAGTCAACTGTATTTAATAACGGGAAAGACATTTTCTCCTCACAAGTATCCTTTTCATCCAGTTTATTCCTCTGGTCCATTGGCCAGGATTGGGTCACATGTCCAAGCCCTAGCTTCAAAAAAATATATTAGGTATTTTTCAGCTCGTGGGCTCAGTGTCAAGGAAGAATATCTGTGTGGGGAGGGGATCACCAAGGTGACTACTACAGTATCTGAAATTGTAAGGATACATGCATAACCCTTGAGGAAATTCTGGTGTGAGCTTGAACTCATAACATCCATTACTTTAACTTTTATTCGGTAAAGCATTTAGGAATGTTAAATGCTAGTCATTGGGCAAAGAAAGAGCTGAGAATGCAGCAGCACATAAAATGGTGCTAGGGACAGATTCAAATTGCACAAGAGACAGTTTTTTTTTTTTTTAAGTATCATGAGTGTTATGTAAGAGAATTATTAGATTCTAGGAAAACCTAGCCCTGTCTTTTTTGAAGAAGTAATGTATACCTTGAGATCAGAAGTATGAGTAAGATTTTACCACGGAAAAAGAGGAAGAAAATACTTGAATGTGTAAAAGAGAACACAGAAATTTCAAAGAAATAAAAGATATTCAGTGTAGATGAAATATCAAAGCACAATTCGATTGAATGGCACTTGAAATACTGGAAAATAAGTTATATTATTTGTGCTTCTTAGACTTTATCTTAAGAATACAGAGACTGAATGAAGCAGTAAAGGGTTTTTAACAGAGACATGACATAATATTTGCAAAAATCTGAAGGAAGGTCCATTGAAGGAAATAAGATGAGCAGTTAAGGTTGTAAGAAAGGAAGTGAGAATATCAACTAGGAGGCTATTACAATATTAGAAGAAGGAGATAAAGTATATTTAACTAGGATGATAGTAGTGGCCCTGAATTATAGATTTTGTCCTAAGTACTCTGGGAAAATGCTCAAATACTGTATAAAGTAATTTTTACAAGTTACTAATACATCTGACTTTGAAATACATCATAGTAATTCAATATGGTTGAGAGTTAATAGTTTTTTTTTTTTTTTTTTTTTTTTTTTTTTTTTTTTTTTTTTTTTTTTTTTTTTTTTTTTTTTTTTTTAAGTCAACCAACAATCTCTATCCCCTATCTCTAAGGAATTGGGAATCTGGAGGATGCAGGGTGCCTTCTAGTTTAAACATGGTATCCCACATGCAGTTCATTTGTTTCACTTCAAAAAAAATGTTTGCTCCACAGGCACATGGCAGGATACAGGAAAAAATGTGTAATCTCTGAAGTGCTGGTTTGCAGAATGATAGATTTTTTTTAAAAAAAAATGTTTGTGTATGGGTTTCATTTTGTGTGTGTTTTTTTTTTTTTTTTAAGAAATGTATTCCCAATAATATACTGCCATTTAATGGAAAACTTGTTTACAATAAATTTTGCTTCTTAGATATTTTCACAGCAAGGCTTACTTGCAGTCATCCAACAAGAGATACATCTATCCATGCACTCATGCACATTCTATTTTCAAATTAATCTTCTCCAATATATTTTTCAAATGCTTGAATTGCATTTCTTTCTATTTAGGGAGTTGTGAATACAAGGATAGAGTTTAAATCTTCTCCCTATCATAGTCTTCCAATTGCCACTGATGTGTAAAATACAGACTCAACAAATTAGCTTTTATTAGTCCTACATTTTCTACTTGCAGTCATAGCTTTAAGCAGCACAGTGTTCAAGATAATATGAGTTATTTGTTTATAGGCAAAAATAGTGGTTATGTTTTTGAGAATTCCAGGAAAATAGTCTAGGAAACGTATTCAGTTTTGAATCTTTTATTTCCCCAGATATTAAACCAAATGAATAAGAAAACATTTTTTTGAAAAGGAATACTATGACAAACAAGATCAACTAATATTTATTTGGTTTTAACTGTATGCCAGGCACTCTGAACATATTATCAAATTTAGCCCTTACAATTGCCTGAGTTAGGAACTTGTATTTTGTGATTAAGCATTGAGAAATTAATGCTTTAGATGTATAACCATTGTACCAATCTCCCAGAACTATTCAGCAATAGTTGGTCTGTTTGGCTTTAATTTCTAGCTATTTCAATATGATGTTATATTGCCTCATAACACATGTACAATCTGCTGAGAATTCCTTGGTAGTTTTAAACACATTTTGATGTGTTTAAAGTAGTTAATACAACAATCCTGCTGGCTATATACAATAGATATTAATATCTATATTGTACAGATAATAAAACTGAAACTCTTGAGAAAGTTAAATACATAGATGGAGGTAAGTGATGGCATATTCATTTGAACCTGCACATTCTGACATGAAAGCACAGTTTTCTAGTATTCATAAAAGCAGTTTTAAAATTATCTATGATTAATAACAGATAATCAGAAGAAAACTAAATCAAGGAGGAAAATAGGAAGTACCAAGTGTGAGGTCTTAAAGTCCAATAAGTTATGCTTAGCCTAGAGGTTTTTTTTTTTTTTTTTTT